TAGTATTAAATAGCTTCTTTAGATATACTTAGATAACTAACCACTGCTAGAGAAAGTCAAACCACCATGCAAATTGCTATCACTACAAATACAAGGTCTAAAACCTCAAATAGTTCTTCAAAGCTTCTTCAGTTTTCTAGTCATGTGTCTATCTGCCTCTCCACTCCCCACCCCAAACTCACTGCTTCTAAGACTACCTCCCACTCAAGGTCAATTTCTCTACCCATGCCCTAGATCTCATCCCCTCCTACTGCTTCCAAATCACTGCCATCAATCACTACCCACCCCTCATCACTCACTCACACACACATATATATATACATACATCATTCTCATTCATTTTCTCCCAGGTGTGCATTGTCTCTCTCTTGCTCTCTTTCTCACTCCTTCCTTGAATTTCTCCTCTCCTTTGGTTCCTTGCAGCCATGTGCAAGCATGCCCAAGATGCTCTTACTTTAAATTTAAAAAGAAACAAAATGAATAAATCAAACTTCCCTAAAGCCCCCGCATCTTCCTCTCTCCTTACACTTCCCTTTGGAGTCCTTTGTTGAAAACACTGTATCCCTCTCAATTAGCTACACTTTTAGCTGTCATTCACTCTTCAACCTCCTCAATGCCATTACAATGTAGCTAACTGCTCCAGCTGAAGTTACATTAAGACATCTTAATCTCCAAGTCTTAGAGACTTTATTCAGTCTTTATCTTACTTGTCCTTTTCAGAGGAGGATAGAGTGTTGACCAGTCTTAGTCCTTGAAATATTCTCCTCCCTCAGCTTCTGACAAATCCCTGTTTCCTTTTTCATCTTTGGTCTGTCTGGTATAGATGGTTGGCTTCTTTTCAGTTGCTGGTCCCATCTACCTAGCAGTTCACAACATAATTGTGGGAATCTTCTGAAATCTTCTCTTTCTCAATTCTATAATCTGATTAATCATCCTATCTCATTGATAATACTTCCTGAATCTCTCATCTATCCCCCCACCCCCGACACACATCCCTCATCATCTCTCAGCTTTCTAACTAGTCTTCTAGTTTTGCCCCTCTCTAATCTAGCTTTCACTTCTATCCCAAAATGACAAGTGTAAAACACAAATCTCATTGTTTCACAGCATGACTTTTCTTTTTTTTTTTTAAAGAGAGAGTGAGAGAGAGAGAGAGAACGAGAGAGAGAATTTTTTTTTTAATATTTCTTTTTTAGTTCTCAGCGGACACAACATCTTTGTTTGTATGTGGTGCTGAGGATCGAATCCGGGCCGCACGCATGCCAGGCGAGCCTGCTACGGCTTGAGCCACATCCCCAGCCCCAGCATGACTTTTCTTTTTCTTCTTCCTTTTCTTTCTTTCTTTTTTTTTTAACTAAATCCTCAGAGCCTTCAAGGTAAAGTTAAAATACTCAAACCTGATTCCCAAACAGTGATTTGGCATATTACTTCATTTGCCTCATTCTAAAGGTGTACTTTTCACATGAATACATGAATATAGCTAATACAAACTGAAATGTGTTGTAAGTATAAAATACAAACCAGATTCTGAAGATGTAGTATGAAAAAGGGAATGCCAAATATGTCTTTATCACTGTTCCATTTTGATTATATGTTGAAATTACAATGTTTTGATATATTAAGTTAAATTATATTGTAAAAATTCATTTTAATTTTACCTTTTAAAATATGGTTACTAGGGGCGGGGTTGTGGCTCAGTGGTACAGCACTTGCCTAGCATGCATGAGGCACTGGGTTCGATCCCTGGCACCACATAAAAATAAAAAACAAATAAAATAAAGGTATTGTGTCCACCTAAAACTAAAATAATAATAATAATAAAATATGAGGGCTGGGGATGTGGCTCAAGCGGTAGCGCGCTCGCCTGGCATGCGTGCGGCCTGGCTTCGATCCTCAGCACTACCAACAAAGATGTTGTGTCCGCCGAGAACTAAAAAATAAATATTAAAATTCTCTCTCTCACTCTCTCTCCTCTCTCACTCTCTTAAAAAAAAAATATGATTACTAGAAATTTTAAGATTATACATGTGACATATTTGTGGCTTGTATTTCAAAAATGACAACACTGGTGTACAATGTACTTTCCCTCTTTCTGAAGCTAATTAATTTATACATTATTCAAGATCAGCTCAGATAACCCTCTAAATTTCAGGACATCCCCTGGCCACCAAGAATCCAAGTCTGTCAGCTACTCTCCTCCATGCTTCTAATCGTGAGAACCTATATAAAACACACCAAAATGTAATTATTGGTTATCAGCTATCTTTTCCTCCCAAACTCTAAGCTCCTTGCAAATGAAATAAATAAATAAATAACACTGTACGGATATTCAGGTTCTACCACCATGCCTTGAACTTAACAGGCACTCAAACATTTGTCAGAAAATGAGAACTACATATTCCTAACCTGGGAGTTAACAGAATTTCTAGTTCTCCAAGGAAAACCAACCAGCAGGGAAGGAGTCTAAAACCTACCAGGAGATCTAGTAATAAAAGGACTGGGGCATGGGGTGTAAGAAATAGGAATCCTACTAAAGAAATCAGCAAATGACAAAGCTCATCACACACACCTGCCTCTTACAGTGAAACTAAGAATTTGCAACAGTGATATAGAGCCTTGAACCCACAGTCAGCATGCCAGGGGCCACAGTTTGATTCCTAAATTGTTTAGCAACCCATCCAACAAAAGACTATGATTTGGCAGGTTTCAACACAAACAGCTAGAGCCCAACACCTGTTCCATTTAAACAGCACATCATTACAGTTAAAAACAACAAATCTCTCTCATGAAGCAAATGCTAATCTCATGATGCTTCACCATGGAGCAATTTAGAAGAGTTATATTATATGAAATGTGCCAAAGCATGAATTTATGGCTGATGCTTATTTGGCAAATATGGTTGGCACTGCTAGATGTTGAAAAACATGTATGCAAATAAGCAAATAAAAGTTTTTAAGCTCTTAGACTTAAATATTTACATTACCATAAATGTACAAAGATAAATGTTTATATGACTACACATATAATGCATTTCAGGAACACACTTTTTAATGTGATTGTTAGGAAACAGTTATGAAGTGGTATTATTTCTTTATGGGCCTCAGGCTAGGCTCTTAAAAATGAATTCTGACAGAATGTTAATGGGGTACAAACATCATCCTGGAAATTTCTCTGCACTATCACTGGGCAAAATGAATAGTAATAGTATCATAATAGTTCAAAGCAATCTTATCTTTTCCTTTCACCAAAACACTTCTCTTCCAACCCTGGAAACCAGCCAAACATAAATGTCAGCCCCTAAATGGGAAGTTGGGAGGAGGAAGACCATGCATCAAAAAGCTTTAAAGAAAATAATCTGACATTTCTCCCCCACCATTTTATAGTCATGTTAATCTCCAAAACAAAGACATGATAAAATATTTTCTCCTCTTCCCCTTTGACATCTATGGGAAGGGGATGTTTGTTTTTTCACATAGTTTGTGAATTGGTCATAGCCAAAACTAACTAGCAATGGTATGAGTTCTCTTTCCATTATTAACTGTTAATCTCTGTGCTGAAGCTATTAACTTCCATCTTTGAAGCCCAAAGAAAATGTACCATACCTGCCGTTATAGTTTACTAAATGAGCCACCAAAGAGAAGAATTGCCAAGCACTCTGGCAAGTAATTAGGGTAGTCAGTGAAGTGAGCAATCTAGAAATGCTCTGAGATTAAAGTAGAAGCCATCATGAAATGAGTATCCAAGATTGCTCTTGGAAAGTTTTACCCTTGTGGATAATTGACATTTTTTTCACTTTCGCACTGCAGAGAGCTATACCTATTACTACATCACTTCGTTTATTGGGGGGGGGGGAGAAGAATGCTATGGCTGAACAAAAATATGTAGGTAGGCCCCAAAACAGAATCCTCAAAGCAATACCAATTCAGGTGAAAAGCTGTTCACGTACATAACCCAACGACCTAAAAATAGACTTTTATGTAAGCCTCCGAGTATTTAATTCAACATATAATCTTGCCACATTCGATAAAGGCAGAAGAAAAATCTATTCAGTTTTCTATAGTAAGGCCAATAAAGATGAAATCATAGTTTTCTTCTAACTCATCACTATCCTTTCAACGCCAGTCTTCCAATAACTCCATTCCACAGCTCTGCTTCCTAAACTTGGTTCTCCCAAAACAAGGATTGCAGAAGTAACATTTAAAGGGAGGGAGCCTCTCTCTCCTGTTGCTGTCAGCAGTCTTTAGTCAAAGGAGGCAAAGAAGGAAAAAACAAAATCAAGCACTCAGACCGATGGTGCACAGAATAGGGAAAGGGAAACGGGATGGACGCGGTTCAGACAGCAAGTCCTCTTTGAAGGAGAAAAGTTGCATGAACCAATGAGTCGAAGGGCAAAGAAGAAACAAACTGACCAACCGAACCACTGAACCCTCTCTCAGCAAGCCTTCATGAAAGGGGCTCACCAGCTACAGCGTGAAGTGAGCAGACAGAAAGCCACCAGGTTTTGACGCTGCTGGCGAAGCTAAGCCGGATCCTCCCAGGTTTGGGAGCGGGATGATGGTGTAGACTTCGCAGGAGCGAGAGAAGCTCTTCCTGCTCCAGCCTCACCGAGTCCAGCTCCTCCAGGCTTCACTTTCCCGGCAGCTTCCCAGCCGCGCCCGGGGGCGTCCGTCACCAGGTCCCAACTTTCCCTCCTCTGGGGGGCGCCGCGCTACCGGGGCCGCCGCCGCCA